TCGTTTTCCTCGAATTTAAACGGATTTATAATCGTTTTTTTGTCTGGATAATATTCTTTTGAAGTTATCTGAAAAAGATATCTGTACTAAGCATAAAAATACACCAAATTTTTCATTAAATTATCAACCCATCCCGTAGTCGGGTTCAATTCATATGCCCTCAGGGCGCCCTGCCCTGCCCGGTCCTGCTCTGAGGGCAGGACAGGACAAGATGTGACAGGGCAACAGGACAGGACAGGACAAAAAAAAGTGCCCTGTGACGGTCTCTGATAAGAATATTCTGATAGATTGAAACATAAGAGAATAATAGAAATTGCATTATGGCAAGATGTTCAAGTAGCGGATACCTGCATATTCAAAATGAATATATTATATTAAATTATATTTATTCCACTCTCAGTTATAATAATGAAGTGTTATCTTGCACAATAATACAAAGATAAATGTCAGTTATTATTGATTTTTTGTTAATCGCAATTCTTTTTTGAGGAAATCTTGGAAAAAATTGAAATAAATGAAATACGCAGCATCAGTCGCAAATGAATATTTGTTTTGAATTTTTATATGAATCATATTGTTCTACTAGAATGGAGAACTAAATATGCCATATTCCTTGGTCATTCCTGAGTCTATAAATGACTTCTTAGTGTGGCTGATCAATATTTTTGCATGTGTTTCTATTGTTTATGGTTTGAGTGTTGTTTAGAAAACTTGTCGATTATTCAACAGGTACTGTAACAACTTCTCATGAGTAATCATTCTGAGTCCTTTTTGTTGCAATCATTTGGAAGATAGTTTTAACGTATTTTATTTATCAGTCTTTGTTTAAAGTAAACCAAGAACTCTCTTCAAGTTCAACGACTGACGCATATCATACAGTCTGATGTCTTCTGAATTTTCTCGTTTCTTTTTCATTAAAAGTTTTAGATTTCTAAACATGGAAGTTGATTCAAATTGTCTCTTTGTTGATGTCGGTAATTGTGATGGATCTGAAATACCTTGTCACGATTTTCTCAAACCACATGTTGATACCGATAATCATTCATCGTTACTCGACTGTAAGACACAAATTGAAAGTCTTTTGTTGCAATATGGTAAATTCGATATGCTTCCTTGTAATTTGGAAGAATTTCATGTGTGTAATAATCACTTTATTCTTATATATTCAACACGCTTCAAGAATTGTTGTTTATGTAAACCATTCGATCGGTCAAAATTCACCAAAAGTTGTCTTCGAATTATAACAAAATTATACACCAGTGCAGCATGGAAGAAAAGTCAAGTTCGTCTTTCATTCGGTCGAAAAATATGCACACTAATGTCGTCATGATCTTGACAAGTTTTTCATGAAAGTAGAATCGAAACAAGAATATGATGTTTATTTTCAATGGTTGTATGATGTAAATCTTATTCATACATCTTCAATTTCTAGTCCTACTTCTTTCCATATACTATCACAGTCGTTCAACAATTTAGTCGTTGAAGAAAAACGAGAATTCTTTAAATAATTTCTTCAAGGTAACAGTAAAAAATATAAACTTCACTCACTAGAAAAATCCACTATATCACTATTTGCAGAAATTAAATGCTTTGATTCCGTACCTTCAACAAATTCATTTGTAAACCTTCAATCACCCAGCCAGAAGCGTTTTTGTCGCCAATCTACGAAAATTTTTAAAAGACTTCTTGACATGTTAACACCTCAGGATGATATTGATCTTGTTTGGCAAACAATAGTTGAAAACTACAAGCAAACATCACAGTCTGTTGATACATTAGATAAGAATTTTTGTTTAGTATTAACCAGTCTTGCTCTAGCCTATAATAATACACAACATTGGACGGTTCATCGATAAATTTTATCAATCATGGCAAAATATGTTAAGTTCTCCATAATACAAATATTTATTCCTGATTTAATAGCTTATTGTTTCAATGTTGCACGTCGACATGTCAACGTTGATGATAAAGGTGTTGTTGTCGATGACACAATAACTCCAACAATTCGTTATGATGATTACCAATTGGAACATTTTATTGAGCTCCTAGTTTCTCCTCATATTTGTACGGATATGCCTTTCGGTGACACAAAACTTTATCTTTCAATTGATGAGATTCTTCTTATTCCACTCATCATCCTTAATCTGGCACCACAACGCATTATCATCCAATATTATAAATTACTGTGAAGAATACTACGGTGATACATTTCGTCCATTAGGTCAAAGCTCATTATGTTCAATACTCAATGAATGTACTGCATCTACTCGTCGATCATTACAAGGTTTGGACAGCTTTTCTGCAGAAGGCTCAACAGCATTCGACATTTTAATGTCAATTATTGACGGCTTGTCAACTATAGGTTTGTAAACTTTAGATATAAGTGTTTTTTTCGAAAAAAATAATTCTTTTATGTTATTTAGGTTTCTGTGTCATTTTTCACACTTTGATAAAGCAAAATGTAGTTTTTAATTTAATTTATTATACTATGACAATAGAAAGCATAAACCTTAATTAAGTATGACCATTAGAATATCAAAGGTGAAATGTAAAAATAGAATGACTCTCGCCTATTTAGAATTCCGATTCAAAATAAATCCCAATCCATCTTATTGGCTTGATTAAAAGTTGAATAAACAAAGGTTCTGCAGTATATTTATGAATAACTTTTAAAATAGTTGGAGCTTACGGCAAAAGTCTTATGAATGTGTACATGATGCAGCTAAACATCTGTGCATTAGTTGAATTTAGATTTAGAGAAAAATTTGCATTGTTATCATTATGTTTAACATATAGATTGACAAGAATAGCTTCGAGCCGTTTTAAAATTTTTTTCTCTCGTCTTGTATTGAAGAGTCTAATTATGAAGTGAATATTGCTTTTTTAATGTAATTGCTATATGATTTACTTATCTTGAGCACTATCTGACAAATAGAGTATGTCATGTAGAAGAAAGACATAAATATGCAGCAATGTTACATATACATCAAACTGTCAAACATCAATATAAATAATAAAAGATGAAATCGCACTGAATGTTTATAATTTATTAAAAGATGTTTTAATATTAATTATTGAGAGTATATTAATTAAAATTGAAGCAAGCTTGTACTTAGCGAAAATCTAACGTTCAATCTAACGTTCAAAAACAGACTTTGATCATTATACTATGAACTAGTTATGGGCTGGGCCTTATGTTTCTTGGCGAATATATTACAAGCATCAATCCTATTCACTCATGAAATTTGATCAGAATCCAGCTATTGAGATATGATGTATTTCTTTTTTTTTTCACAAAAGAGATATTAATAGTAATGTCGGTGTACATTTTGATCTGGTTAACTTTATCTAACAATGGAACCGTCTCAATTGTTAACCGAGTTGAGGGGTCTTGTCCGGATCAAATTAACACTCTCACTGCTAAACTAACAAATTTAAAATATTACGTCTCCATAGCGAGCCTGGACTGAGATAATCGATTTTTAAGATATTCAGTTTTGGTAGGTGAACATAATATCATGGAAACT